GAAATTCAAAAGGATGGTTGAGAAGCAGTGTGAGCAGAAGATAAAGGTCTTAAGGACAGATGGAGGTGGAGAATACATCTCCACTGAATTCAAGGTGTTCTGTGAAAATGAAGGGATTGTACATGAGGTTACTCCTCCATATACACCACAACATAATGGTGCAGCTGAAAGGAAGAACAGAACTCTACTGAACATGGTGAGATGTATGTTAAAAAGCAAAGGGTTGCCTAACTTTTTATGGGGAGAAGCTGTGGTGACAGCCACTTATATACTGAATATGTCTCCAACAAAGAGACTTGTGGGTCTGACACCTGAAGAGGCGTGGACAGGTGTGAAACCAGATGTTAAACATCTGAGAATCTTTGGATCTATATGCTATAAGCATATACCAGATCAACTAAGGAGAAAGCTGAATGACAAAGGTGTGCCACTAATACTTGTGGGCTATAATCCTACTGGAGGATACAAGCTGTATGACCCAGTATCAGGGACAGCATGTATCAGCAGGGATGTAGTTGTTGATGAGAATGGGGCTTGGTAGTGGAAAGCAGCTGAGCAGGAATCTCCAACCATCTCTTTGGAAGATACCACTGCTGCAGTTGAAACAGAAGAGGACAGTGGGAATGGCAGACAGAGAAGATCATCCAGAACTACACAGCTGCCAGTACACTTGAGAGATTATGAGCTATCCTATGAAGCTACTCTAACAGCAGATGGACAGTGTGTTCATTATGCCCTAATTGCAGAGGCTGAACCAGTAGAATTTGAAGAAGCAGTTAAAGATGAGAAATGGCATAAAGCCATGGAGGAGGAGATTGACTCCATAGAAAGGAACCAGACCTGGGAACTAGTGGAATTACCCTCTGGAAAGAAAACCATAACATTAAAATAGGTTTACAAATCAAAGATAAATCCACAAGGCATTGTTGTGAGGTATAAGGCACGGCTGGTTGCTAAGGGATTCTTACAGAAGGCTGGAGTTGATTATGGTGAAGTATTTGCTCCTGTAGCAAGGGTTGAAACTATCAGGTTAGTGGTATCTTTGGCCACTAAATTTTTCTGGTCTTTACACTAGCTTGATGTGAAGTCAGCCTTCCTAAATGGAAGATTGGAAGAGGAGGTTTATGTGGTACAACCACAGGGTTTTGAGGTCAAAGGGCAGCTGGACAAAGTGTATAGGCCGAGGAAAGCTCTCTATGGGCTTAAGCAGGCTCTAAGGGCCTGGAACCAGCGTATTGATGGTTTCATGGGCAGTATTGGGTTTGAAAAATGTGTTTCAGAACACGGTGTGTATGTGCAAAGCTGTCAGCACAAAGGCAAAACAGAGAAGTTGATTGTGTGTCTCTATGTGGATGACTTGTTAGTCACTGGAAGTTGTGAAGAATTAATTTCAGTCTTCAAAACTGAAATGCAAAGTGAGTTTGAAATGAGTGACCTTGGAAGACTCAGTTATTTCTTTGGCATTGAGTTTACCAAGATTGAAAGTGGAATAGTGATGCACCAATCAAGGTATGCTTTAGATATGCTAAAAAAGTATGAGATGGGTGACTGTAATGCTGCAAGTACTCCTGCAGAAGTAGGATTGAGGCTAGAAAAAGAGCCAGAAGAGGAAGCTGTTGATCCAACAGCTTACAGGAGAATGGTTGGAAGTCTTAGGTATCTCTGTAACACCAGACCTGATTTGAGCTATAGTGTTGGAGTGATAAGCAGATACATGGAGTGTCCCAGAGTATCACATCTGATTGCTGTCAAACGGATACTGAGATACTTGAAGGGTACACATTCATATGGGATTCTGTTTAGAAAAGGAAAGACTGGAGAAGAAGTACAAATTACTTCTTACTCAGATGCAAATTGGTGTGGAGACAAGACTGACAGAAAAAGTACTGCAGGGTACATTTTCTTCATGGAAGGATCTCCTATTTCCTGGAGCTCTAGAAAGGAACCAGTAGTTGCCTTGTCATCATGTGAGGCAGAATACATAGCTGTCTGTGAAGCTACATGTCAAGCAACCTGGCTGAGACCCTTGGTAGAAGGACTGAAGATTGAGTTGTCTGAGAGGAGGGTGAGACTAATGGTTGACAACAAATCAGCCATAAATCTTGCAAAACATCCTACATCTCACGGTAGGAGTAAACACATTGAGACCAGATTCCACTATATCAGGGAACAGGTCAGCAATGGGAAACTGGAGATTGTACACTGCAGATCCGAAGATCAACTTGCAGATATACTGACTAAAGCCCTCAAAGGCGAACACTTTCTGAAACTCAGAAAGCAAATCGGGATGGTGCAAGCTGAGACTTTGAAAAATTAGGGTTTTTCTTCACGGAGAAGAAGATCGGTCAAGGAGATGTTTTTCCCCGGTTTTAATCGGTGAAAAACATGTGTGTGCTTGAAGAAGGTGGTTTTACTGACTTTAATCGGTAGAAGTTGCTGGAAATCAAGGAGGAGAAGATTTTCACCGATTCAATCGGTGAAAAGGTGTTTTTTCATCGTTTAATCGTTGTTTTTTCAAGTTTTGTTTTAGGAGGAGTGTTGAAGTGTAAATCAAAACAGAAAAACAGATTATTCTCATGTATATAAACTCTATAAATCAGTTTCAAACTGTTAATAATACAATTTTGAGGTTATTCAGAATACCTGTGTGTCTTAGCATTGTGTTGATCATTCTGAAACTGCCGTGTGTGGTGGTGGTGACTGGTGAAGAAGGCTGAACCCTAGCGGAGCTTCCAGTGCTCATCTCCTCTCTCAGATTCTCGCGTTTCTCTTTCTGCTTTTGGCTTTCTCTCTCCATCACGTGCTTAATTCACGTTTTTAAGAGAAAGTAATATCTGGAGGGGTTTTTACGTTTCTGCCCTTATTCTAATACTCAATATGTAGAGGCACCTCGTATTCTTGTTATTTCTATAATAAACAAATTCAAACAAACATTGAAAACAATACACCTAACGAATAACTAAATTTAAAGAGAATAAAAAACAAAACAAGAACACAAAAAAAAATCTTTTCTAAAAAAACCATAAACCATTAAAACAACCAAAAAGTATATTAAAATTATATATATATATATATATATATATATATATATATGCTAGATTTTGCACTTCTTATATATATATATATATGCTAGATTTTGCACTTCTTGAAAAAGATTTTAAAAGGTAACTTTCTGAACGAAATTTTGAAATCTAATATCTTAATCGAATTTTGAAATCCAGTATTTATCATTTTAAAATTTGGTGTTTTCTCAATAAATCTTACTTATTATGAATTTCTAAATTCGTTTCACCTATAAATTCGTTTCACCTATCAACCAAAATTAATTATCTAAATGTCGAATTTCAAATTTTATTCACCCCGAGTTATTTCCAAATTAATAAGCAATAAAAAATATAAGAATAAAATTTACTTGAAGAGAGTGTTATGTGAAGAAGAGAGTGTGTGTGTGGGGGAGGGGGGAGATATTGTGCTTTGTGGAGCATAGGGACGAAGGAAGGAGGTAGAAGAATTGTGGGATGGAGACAGGGTGAGTGTGAAACGTTAGGATAAATGTGAGGGGTGAAGATAAGAGAGAGAAAGGATAATTATATTTTTATAGTAAAAATTTTTGGATACAAGAAGAAAATAATAGGATGCAAGAAGTAATCCAAATTTATATAGAGAGTTGCTCCCTCCACCACCACAGTGTGCTTCCTACACCTCCCCATCGCTCTTTTGCCCTTTTATAAATTTTAATTTCTATTTTAACTTTCACTAAATGGATACGAACATCCGTGAACGGATATGGACATCAGATGTCCTATATCCGTTGTGCGATATGCTGATGCGAGATGCACCCCTAGGTATTGTATCACAGAGTCCTAACATAATGGATCTTGTTAAGTGCGATGATGCAACACTGTTGTATAAAAACAAGGTATAGAGATTAGGGGTAACACCAAGTGAATCCCAAATAAGAGAGATAACTTTGTGGCTCTCTGAATGTCACAGGGATTCCATAGGTTTAAGTACAGATAGCTTGTCTGATGCAGGCTTCCCAAGGGCTGCTACTCTTGGTGATATAACTTGTGGAATGGCAGTTGTCAGAATATCTTCCAAAGATATAGTTTTCTGGTTCCGATCTCACACAACCGCAGAAATTCGATGGGGTGGTGCAAAGCATGAACCTGGTGAAAGGGATGATGGTAGCAGGATGCATCCAATATCTTCATTCAAGGCTTTCCTTGAAGTTGTGAAGACAAAAAGTTTGCCCTGGAAGGATTATGAAATGGACGTCATTCATTCATTGCAACTAATACTGAGAAATGCGTTCAAAGACAACGATAATATGTAGATAAGCACATATGCTATCAATACAAGATTAAGTGATTTGAAAATCGAAGGGATGCAAGAACTGAAAGTAGTGACTAGTGAGATGGTAAGGTTTATTGAAACCGCAACAGTACCAAACAAATGTCCAAAAGAAGGAAGGAATTCGAAACGGAAATGGAGAATGGTAGGAGGAAGAAACTGAAACAGAGACAAATTGAGAAAGTGAGAGTGAGGGGTGAGACTGCGAGTGAAAATGAGAAGGAAGTGTAGGATAATTAAGGTTTTGACAAAAAATAAAAAAAAATAAATGTTAAAAATAAAAAAGATAATTTTAGAATTTAAAAAAAATTGGATAAATACAAGTCCAAGTTTTACTCTATTAATTTCTAAAATTTTACCCAGCATAATTAAATTTTATCCTTAAAGTCTGGAATTCAACCTGATAATTTTCACACGAATAATTGATTACTTAATCATTTTAAAAGAACTTGTGCTCACGAATAATTTTTTTTTTCTTAAAATGGAAAAATTACTAAATTTTGAAACCCGGATGATCAAATATATAATTTTTTTTTGAAAGAAATAAAAATTACACTATGAATAAAAAAAAGTATATCCAGACCTAATTATTATTATTTTAAATAAAACGCTTGTAGCATTTTCAGAAGTCGTTTGACACAAAAGAAGCCGTTTGATAAAATGTAGTTGTTTAATAGAAACGAAGTCGTTTAACCTAAAAACGACATTAGTTCTTCAACCGGATGAACGACTGAAGTTAACGCGAGAAAACCGAAATTCGCACTCTGCCGCACGCAGCGACTCCCTGTGGTTTGGGGAAAACTTCTAGAATATTCTTCCATGGAGGTTATCAGAGGACTAGCGCCGGCAATCGTGGTGGCGGTGCTCCTGGCGGCGTTGACGGCGGAAGCCGGCGACAACAACCAAGTATTCTCTCCCTGCTCCGATACGCGTGTGCAGAGATCCGACGGATTCTCGTTCGGAATCGTGTTCGCGCCGAAGGACAAGTTCTTTTTGAACAACAATAACAGCGTTCAGCTGTCACCGTGTGATACGAGACTCTCTCTCTCCAATTCGAATTATCAGATCTCTGTGTTCAGACCCAAGGTCGACGAAATCTCGCTCCTGACGGTTAACTCCTCATCATTCACCGCGGTTCGTTCTCAGTTTCTCTATTTGTTTTCTCAATTTTGATATTAGAGATTGGTATAGTTTCCTTTGGGGATCGAAGTAACCGAAGTCAATTTCTTTTGTTAATTCATAATTTGGTTAATTAGTGTGTTTTTTTTAATTCTCTTTTGCTACTCCAAAATCTAGCATTGAACTACGATCATTTATGCCAGTTGACTAGAAAGTATTCACGAAACCCTAATTTCATAATCCTTGGTTCATGTGAATAGGAATCTTTTTTTTTTTGTGAGATGTTTTGTTTATGCTAAATTCAAGCTATGCTTGTTTGAGTAACTGGAAATTGTGGAGTTGGGGGATTTGGAAGGAAGCTTATTTCTCCTTTCTTCGTTACAACATAACAATATGGACGGTTTAAAGTGGAGTGCAACTCAGAATGCAAATTTTTTTTTTCTAGTTAAGCATCCTTTCGTATGAAAGTGAGTTGAAATTATTTTTTAGTGAAACATGATTGAAACCTCTGTCTCGTTCCAATTTTAATTCTCTTATTATTTTCTACTTTCTCATTTTCAACTAACATAAACATTGCCTCAGTTTTATAGCAAAATTCAAATTTGTTTGGCCCCCTAATTGAGTCTGATTTGTTCCTGTTTTTGTCAAAAATGGATGGGGCTACTAGTTTGAGCAAGGTCACTGATCAGTCCAAATTGATTGACAATTTGACCAAACTGATGGTTTAGTCATTCGAGCTTATTGATTCAGCCTTAGACTTTAGAGTGGCCAAAATGCATGATACTTTTTTAAAAACACTTGATCATTCAAGTAATAATCTATTAAACACCAAAACGACTCTAACACAAAATTGAACATGATACTGACACACATACGGGACATGTCTTATGTCCAAAGTATAAGATGTGGTGTACTTGTAAAGATGCTTCAACATTCAAGACACCAATAATAATTCACTCAAGTAACTAGATGTAGTAGATGTATATCTTTCACGATTTTGGTAGCATTTATAATTGTTAACTCAAGGCTAGAATCCTTATAGCTGAGGGTCAAAGGTCCCTTATGGACAATTATAGGCTACCACGGCGTGTATGTGCAATAAACTAGTGTCCCTGTTTTGACTATAGTCAAAATATCCTGGAGTTGTTTGGGCTTCATACAGATATGTCATATTGGTTGGGCTTAAGCGAATGGAAGGCCAGTTTATAACAGTTCCTAACGCATGATTTGATTTGATTATCAGTTTGGTTAACTTTCGTATTTTTGTCTCTGTTGATTAATTTATTTTTTATTGTTTTGTGTCTGTTAACTGTTTCTTGTGCAGGACACGTATGGCTATATGGTTGCATTTGCTGGAAGGAGATATGCAGCAAGGTCTCCCCCTGCTTTTGTCGCAAACAGCACATATACCGTTACCAGTTTTACTCTTGTAAGGAGTGGTTTATCTTTTGAAAGTAGTGTTTTGATATTTGTGGTCATAATCATAATCCATACCACCAACTGAACCTGGCTTTGTAGGTCCTTGAGTTTAAGAAGGGGAGACTGCAAAATTTATACTGGAAAAGAGATGGGTGTGCTAAATGCTCGAGTAATTCGAAAGCTGTGTGTCTCAACAATCAGGATTGTGCACTACAAACGTCCAGTTGCAAGAGCCATGGAGGAACTGTGGATTGCAGCATAGGTATACAGCTGGCATTCTCTGGCACAGATAAGCACCTTGCAGTTCTCAATTCTTGGTATGAAGTGAAAAACCTTCGCCAATATTCACTGTATGGCCTTTATTCAAATCTTAGAGATTCCCTCACTAGCCAGTATGATAAATTTTTCTAATTCCCTTTAGTTATTTTTTTTTTTAATTTTGTTTTGTATCATTCTGTTGTGATTTGCTCTTGTTATTACGTTATCCACATCCCAACCCTTCTCTTATCAATATATTTGTGAGAACCCAGAATGATGGCTTGTATATTGTATACCAAAGTTATGTTTTATGTTGGAAGGAGTACAAAACATATGAATTTGTTATTGACTGAAGTGAACTGTGTTGGACTAGGAGATTCCAAATAGTGTGAATGAAGAATGTAGTTTGTCCAAACTTCGACCAAACTAGCATGCAAAGTCCTTCTAGTTCCACATCAATTATTGAGCGATGCATGTTTTTGCATCTAATATTGGAGAGGGGAGGACTGAATTAGGAAACAAAGTAACACTATTTTTTTTGTTGAGAAATTAACATGTATCAATCATCATATATTATTCAGCTGAAATTTAAATAATGATTAGTGTGTGAGATGTGATAAACTGATACATGTCCATTATTTAGCAAGTGGACAGTTACCATATATTATTCCGAGGTGCAGTTAGCTATTGCCTATTGCCGTGGATGACGAATTATTTAAAGGGTCTTCTATTTGAGTGCCTTAAAAGTGCTCGAAGTGCTCTCATGGTAAATAAATTGAATCTTAAGCATTGTTCTGATATAAATATGTACTGTTCATGTCATTTAAAACCATTTAAACATTACAACAAAATCCTCGTATTAAAAATACAACTAATAAAAATATTGTTTATTTTTTTACCTCAATTTTTTTTCTCTAAATCTTATTTTGTCTCTATATATTGTCCATGGATATTTTTTATAGTATTTGTCGATATTTTAAAAAAATAGATATCTGATAAATAACGGGAGGATAATAAATGATTTTTTTTTGCGAATGGATAAGTATTATTTATGTTCGACCTTACTGTCATTATATCTAAATCATTATAATTAAAATCCTTACATGTGGTCATCCATGATTTAAATCATTATAATTAAAATTTTCGTTTGTTCATAACTGTATTATTTTAAATATTAAGTTTAGATTAGTTTTAATATTGGACTTGTATCTCTAAAACTTTACTATCATAATTTACAAGATATATTTTTGTGCTCAATTTTTTTTGTAGTTTTTATTTTATGCCTTTCTAAAGTATTTTTTTAAAACAATATATAATTGTTAGTAATGTATCATATTTTATTTATTGTTTGATGAAAATTATTTAAACTGTGTTTAGAAAAGAAAAATTGCATTATTTCTCCGTTCATTCCTCTAGAAATTAAAGGATGAATATTGCATTTGTTAAAACCATGAAGTCTTGATCTGTTATAGGTTTTCTTAAAGATTTGGAATGAAATGGTTTTGTTCTGACATACCAGTTTAAAGTGTCTTTAGGTATCTTACCTCTAAAAAACTAATAAACTTATTATATTATTAATTTAAATAAACTTATTAATGATTTTAATTTTCTTATATTATATTATATATATAT